TTTTTGTATTTTTAGTAGAGACAGGGTTTCACCGTGTTGACCAGGATGGTCTCGATCTCTTGACCTCGTGATCCACCCGCCTTGGCCTCCCAAAGTGCTGGGATTACAGGCTTGAGCCACCGCACCCAGCCCTGACTGTATCTTTTCAAGCAAACTGTTAAACTTATTTCTCACAACCTGTGCTTTGCTCACGATTACGCATCAAAGATCAAAGTCATCCTCTCTGGCAGGGGCGGGGGCTCCCGCCTGTAATACCAGCACTTTGGGAGGCTGAGGCAGGAGGATCACCTTAAGTCAGGAATTGGAGACCAGCCTGGCCAACATGGTGAAACTCTGTCTCTACTAAAAATACAAAAGTTAGCTGGGCATGGTGGTGTGCACCTGTAATCCCAGCTACTCGGGAGGCTGAAGCACTTGAACCTGGGAGGTAGAAGTTGCAGTGAGTCAAGATTGCACCCCTGCACTCAAGCCTATGTGACAGAGCAAGACTCTGTCTCACAAAACAAAACAAAACAAAACAAAAGTTATCCTCTCCAACAAGCCCAGGGGTGTCGATCCTCTAGCACCAATGATGGGCAGGTCCACGTGCTTTACCAGCTTTTACCAGCTGGCTGTGCCAAAAGCAGGACCAACCTGGCTCATGAAAACTGAGCAGCTTAAATAGACCCTGGGAGGAGGCCAAGGGAGTGTCTAGGGCCCGGCTGGGGTTTCCTCATAGAGTTCAGGTCTGCACCCACAGAAAAACACATGATGATGAAGGCTGGCAGTTGTATTCCCAGCAGCACAGCAAAGATCACTTTGATCTGGAAACTGTTTGAATAGATGCTTCCAACACCTACCACAGCTCTTATTAAAGCCATTTTCTAATGAAGTCTCCAATGACCTAGAGACAATCTAATAAACCCAGCAACAATCCCAGTTTGGACTGCTTTAAGCCTGGAGGACTTTTGGCAGTGCATCACTACACAGAACCATTTCTGTGATCGCCTGGTACCAAAGTCAAACGTTGTCCACAGAACATCTTTCTGTTCTGGAGATGGGAGGCACATGCAACGGACTGAACCTAGGTGGCAGGTCATCATAACTAGTCTAATTCCATGCATGTTTGAAATTTTTCATAATTTTTTAAGCTGAATCAGTTCCCAAGGTACAAATCCAAGAGAAGGAAGTGGTGGGCAAGAACTCGTCCTGCATGTTAATTTCGCTAAACCAAAAATTATCTAAATTATCTAACCCATCAAGAAGAGCCTCAAAGATAACAATAAACATTTACAAGCCAGACACTGTGCTAAGAACTGCCTGCCTTGGGTATCTCAATGTCTAAGGCTGAGGGGAAGTCACGACCGGCACAAAGAAGCTTTGCTGGATCCTTAGGGGTTTTTCTGAAGGTCACAGAACAATTGTTGGTAATGAAACAGCTAGGAAGTTGGTATGATAGACAAAGGGTGGCAATTGATTTAGAAGGAAACTAACTGGCTTACATTTTAGAGGGAATATCTAGTAACCAAGTAAGTACAAAGCTGTAAATAATTAGACTAGGCCGGGCACAGTGGCTCACGCCTGTAATCCCAACATTCTGGGAGGCTGAGGTGGGTGGTCATCTGAGTTCAGGAGTTCAAGACCAGCCTGGTTAACATGGTGAAACCCTGTCTCTACCAAAAATACAAAAATTAGGCCAGGTGCGGTGGCTCATGCCTGTAATCCTAGCACTTTGGGAGGCCAAGGTGGGCGGACTGCCTGAGCTCAGGAGTTTGAGACCAGCCTGGGCAAGATGGCGAAACCCCATCTCTACTAAAATACAAAAAAAAAAAAATAGCTGGGCAGGGTGAAATATGCCTGTAGTCCCAAGTCCCAGCTATTCAGGCAGCTGAGGCAGGGGAATTGCTTGAACCTGGGAGGTGGAGGTTGCAGTGAGCCGAGATCATACCACTGCACTCCAGCCTGGGTGATAGAGCAACTCTCTATCTCCCCCCCTCCAAAAAAAAAAAATCAGCTGGGCATGGTGCTGGGCACCTGTATTCTCAGCTACTCGGGAGGCTGAGGCAGGGGAATCACTTGAACCTGGGAGGCGGAGGTTGCAGTGAGCTGAGATTGCACCACTGCACTCAAGCCTGCATGACAGAGCGAGACTCTGTCTCAAAGTAAGTAAATAAATAAAAAAGCCGGGCGCGGTGGCTCACACCTGTAATCCCAGCACTTTGGGAGGCCGAGGCGGGTGGATCACGAGGTCAAGAGATCGAGACCATCCTGGTCAACATGGTGAAACCCCGTCTCTACTAAAAATACAGAAAATTAGCTGGGCATGGTGGCGCATGCCTGTAATCCCTGCTACTCAGGAGGCTGAGGCAGGAGAATTGCCTGAACCTAGGAGGCGGAGGTTGCGGTGAGCCGAGATCGTGCCATTGCACTCCAGCCTGGGTAACAAGAGCAAAACTCCGTCTCAAAAAAATAAATAAATAGACAGACTAAATTTTCTGCAGTGAAACAGGGAATGCCTGTAAAATTTTAGAAAAGGAAAGGAGTATGATGAAGTGTCCACACTCTCCATCCCTGAACAATGCTGCAAGTGAAGATCCTCCCAGGTGCTCTGTTTAGCTCAAGCCATTACTAGACTGAACTGCAGGAGGAAGCAAGGCCTCACCTCCAGCCCAACATGCAACAGGGAATTCATAACAAGTAATCAGGTATGAATGCAGAGGGGGCTGCCCCAGGAAAAGAAACAAACACAGGAACTTTGATAGGGCTAAATGTGCCCAGCCCTGTAGCCTCCCTGTAGCCTCCAGTGGCCAGCTTTCCATCCCCTCTTGACTGAGGTTCCGGGAAGCTGAAGTGGCAGAAACAGTACTCCATCCACCCCTCCATCCCTGATACCTGCTGACAGCATTGACCACAAGCCTCAGCTGTTCCTCGGCAGAGGCTGTCTGCTGCTGCCACCAGCGCCGGGCCTCCTGAGCACGGCTCAGCTCCAACTGCAAGGCCTGGGGAGGATGCAGCAAAGGACAGGGTCTCTCCGAGTCCTGGGGGCAGCCCCAGACAAGTGGCTCCCCTGCCCTCCCGGAGTCTCTACTGGGCTCAGACACCAACCTTGGCACCCATCCGCTCCACCTCTGCCTCTGCGGCTTTGTCCTGCAGGGATCGCTGCAGGATGGCCTGCTCCTGGCTCTGGGCTGTCACTTGTTCCTGGAGTGAGGCCACCTGGGAGAGGAGAGGGAGCTGGGCAAGGCCTTCTAGAGCTAAAAGGGGGGCACTGGAAGCAAAGTGGCAGGTGCAGAGATCTCTGTAAGAATGCCATGCAGGGGCCAGGAGAGGTGGCTCACGCCTGTAATCCCAACACTTTGGGAGGCTGAGGCAGATGGATCACTTGAGGTTAGGAGTTCAAGAGCAGCCTGGCCAACATGGTGAAACCCCATCTCTACAAAAAATAGAAAAATTAGCTGGGTGTGGTGGTACCTGCCTGTAGACCCAGCTACTCAGGAAGCTGAGGCAGAAGAATCGCTTGAACCCAGGAGGTGGAGGTTGCAGTGAGCTGAGATTACACCACTGCACTCCAGCCTGGGTGACAGAGAGAGACTCCTTCTCAAAAGAATAAAAAAAGAAAAAAGAAAAAGAAAGAACGCCACGCAGGAGACCGAAGCTTAGGTTCCTGAGAATGGAACCCAGTGTTCCTTCCATGTTCCACGTTCCATGTACCCCCTTGAACATGGGACTAGCCCTTGACTCACCCCACAGGACCCACCAACTGACAATGCCACCCTCCTCAGATGCTGTCACCTCCTCAGAGAGGCTGTCCCCAACCATCCTACCTGAGGCTGACCCACCCCACAGTCTCTCCATCACATTATCTTTTGATTCTTTCTTACTACTTTCTTTTTTTTGAGACAGGATCTCACTTTGTCACCCAGGCTAGAGTGCAGTGATGGGATCACAGCTCACCGTGGCCTTGATCTCCTGTGCTCAGGTGATCCTCCACCTCAGCCTCCACAGTAGCTGGGACTACAGGCATAAGCCACCATGCCTGGCTAACTTTTTATATTTTTAGTAGAGACAGGATTTCATGTTTCCCAGGCTGGTCTCCAACTCCTGACCTCAAGTGGTCCACCTGCTTCAGTCTCCCAAACTATTGCCATTACTCAGCTTGGCACGGTGGCTCCACCTGTAATCCCATCACTTTGGGAGGCTGAGGCAGGCAAATCATCTGAGATCAGGAGTTTGAGACCAAAGTGTTGGCATTACAGGCGTGACCACTGCACCGGCTTGAAACTTTCTGTATAGCACACATAATACTCAATGTTACCTGCTTACTTGCATGTTCTGTGTCTCTGCTCTAGAAGGCAGGCTCCACATTTCGGTTTTGTTCAGGGCTGCATGCTCAGCATGTGGTAACCACTCAATAAACACTGGTTGAATGGATGCCACCCTTATGGAAGGAGCAAGGTGCTGGGAGGGAATACAGGGAGAAAAGAGAGTGCAGTGACCTGTCCCTTCAGCTGCTTAACAGAGTTGCTGTGTTCCAGCTCCTGGGCCTTTAGCTGCACCATGAGGGCAAACACCTTCTCCCGCCAGCGGTTCAGCAGGGACTGGCACTTCCTGGTAAACTCAGGTTCCAGGGAATCTGAAGGTTGAACCTGAAGGAGAAGCAGCAAGAGGAACGTATGGACTCCTGGGGGAGGAGAGGAGGGAGGTGGTGTCTTTGTTTCTCCTGTCCTGCCTGGGCAACATGAGTTACAGCAAGGAGTTCACAGGAAGAAAGAGATCCAAGCAGGTTCTGGGGCATACTGACCCCTCCCGCCCACAGGGAGGGAGCAGGGGGACAGTAGGTGCAGGATGCGGCTGAGGGTGAGGGGCTGGGGGTCAGGCTGTACCTTCCTTGTCAGCTCCTCCTCCTGCAGGGCGAGGATGTGCGTGAGGCTCTGCACTCGCACCTGCAGCAGCTCCGCAGTGGCGTGCAGGCCATCCCGGTCCTCCTGCAAGTGCTGTGGGTGGAGGGAAGCAGCGCCTCTGTAGGGCGTCCATGCCACCTCAGGTACCACCTTCTCTCCTGGGGGCTATACTCTATACACGTTCCTCCGAGGGCCACACTTGCTCCCCCCCACCTGATCCCCAAGTCCCCACACAGATGCAGTCCTGCACTCTCACCTGCACGGTTTCCAGAAGCTTCTGTCGCTCCGGTTCCCATGTCTGGCTGTGAACCTCAGGAGGGACTTGTTCCCCAACATATTTTCTTAGATTCTCAACCAGGGTCACCTGAGCCTCCAAGTCGTCCTGGGTCTTGCTAGCGTTGGGGTATGAATGGAACAGCCACCAGTGGGGCGCCCTGCAGACCCACCACATCACCAACTGCTGGTCCCCCTGGTGTCTGCCCACCTACCTCAGTTGCTTCCGAAGCAGCTCGGCCTCCCTCTGAGCCTCGGCCAGCTCCTTGGCTTCCCCTGACCTCCTGGTTTCCAGACTACTCAGAGACTTCTCCAAGCCCTCGGCCTTGCTGGTCAAACTGGAAAGAGCCTCCTGGTGAGCCTGTGTCAAAGAGGACAGCTACGGAAAGAAGAGGGGGCTCAGCAGGGGCTCGACCCCACATGGGGGCCTTCCTTGTTCCCTTCACTCCCACTTTCTGTGACCTTAGAGAAGGACCCAACCAATCACCCAATTGTGCATAGCAAATGGAGAGCTGTTGGCTGGGTGCAGTGGCTCACGCCTGTAATCCCAACACTCTGGGAGGCTGAGGTGGGTGGATCACCTGAGGTCAGGTGTTCAAGACCAGCCTGGCCAACATGGTGAAACCCTGTCTCTACCAAAAATACAAAAATTAGCCAGGCTTGGTGGTATACACCTGTAATCCCAGCTACTCGTGAAGCTGAGGCAGGAGAATTGCTCCAACCCAGGAGGCAGAGGTTGAAGTGAGCCAAGATCCCACCACTGCAATTCTAGCCTAGGCGACAGTGAGACTCTGTCTCAAAAAAAAACGAAAAAACAACCATAAATGGAGAGTTGGTAACTCACTCTCCACAGTTGCCCCACAACCCATCAGGAGCTCTTGTCAGATCTCCTCCAAAACATATCTTCACCTCTCTCTGTCTCCACTGCCACCAACCCAAGGTAAGCTACCTTTATCTCTTGCCTGGGCCACAGCAACCATCTCCTAACGAGTCTTTACAAATCCTTGGTGGCTTATCACCGCATTCAGAACAAAACCCAGGTGCCTCTCAACGCCTGCGGGCTGGGTGACCCGGCCTCTGCCTGCCTCCTGAGCTCACTCCTGGAGGCTCTCCCACTGCTCCCCGCTCTAGCCACAGTGAGTCTGCTGAGAACCAGACAGTGGCCCCTCCTCGCTCTATAGACCTCAGGCAATAGCCCCTCCTCAGGATGGCCTCGCTGTGCTCTCTAATTCCCCCCACCACCCTACTCTGCCCCTCAGCTGGTCACGTACTCCTGAGCACTTAGCCCTGATCATGTCTTGCTTATGTGTATGTGTTACCATCTGTTGGGCCATACAGGAAGGAAAAGGAGGAATTTTGTCTTTTGCTCATGGCACCTCAAAGGGTTGTAGGGGTGTCAGAGCCACCAAGAGTCATGGGATGGACTGGGAAGGAGAGCAGAGTAGCCACTCTGCTTCCAGGTCTCCCTCCTCTAGCCCCGTCTCCATACAATAGTTAATTTGGGTGACATAAATCACAAAACTTTTAAGACATAATATGTAAATCTAATCATGTCATTTCCCTGCTTAAAGCCTTTCAACAGTTACTTATTACTTAAAAAAATTTTTTTTCTTTTTTTTGTTGCTGGTGATGGAGTTTCACTTTGTTGTCCAGGCTGGATCTCAGCTCACCGCAACCTTTGCCTCCCAGGTTCAAGCGATTCTCCTGCCTCAGCCTCCTGAGTAGCTGGGATTATAGGCATGAGCCACCACATCTGGCTAATTTTTATATTTTTAGTAGAGATGAGGTTTCACCATGTTGGCCAGGCTGGTCTCGAACTCCTGATCTCAAGTGATTCACCCACTTTCGCTTCCCAAAGTGTTGGCATTACAGGTGTGAGCCACCATGCCAGGCCCTAATTTCTTTTATAAAATAGACACGGGGGTCTCACTTTGTTGCCCAGCATAGTCTCAAACTACTGGGCTCAAGTAATCCTTCCACCTTGGCCTCCCTAAGTGCTGGGATTATAGATATGAGCCACTGTGCCCAGCCTGCTCATTACTCTTAAGGGAAAGTATCAAGTTCTGAACTGACCAAGGCCTGGGTCCTGTGCTCTGCAGCACACTCAGGGTCTTCATCTCTGTGCTCCAGCCTTCTGGCCTCCTCCTGTCCCCACCTCTACCTGCTGTCCTGCTGAGTGTTCACCAGCTACCACTGCACCCCACACACCTCTTCACTGGCCAGCTCCTATTCAGCACAAATGGTAGCTGGTTTTTAGTCTTGCTCTGCTGCCCAGGCTGGAGAGTAGTGATCTCACCTCATCGTAACCTCCGCCTCCCAGGTTTAAGCAATTCTCCTGCCTCAGCCTCCCAAGAAGCTGGGGGATTACAGGCACCTGCCACCATACCTGGCTAATTTTTGTATTTTTTTGTAGAGACTGGGTATCGTCATGTTGGTCAGACTGGTCTTGAACTCCTGGCCTCAACTGATCTACCAGCCTCAGCCTCCCAAAGTGCTGGGATTAGAGGCATGAGCCACCGTGCCTGGCCTAACTTCTTATTGCTAAATTTCTTTCATGAATCTCCTTTGTCCATTTTCTTTTTTTGAGACGGAGTTTCGCTCTTGTTACCCAGGCTGGAGTGCAATGGCGCGATCTCGGCTCACCGCAACCTCCGCCTCCTGGGTTCAGGCAATTCCCCTGCCTCAGCCTCCTGAGTAGCAGGGATTACAGGCACGCGCCACCATGCCCAGCTAATTTTTGTATTTTTAGTAGAGACGGGGTTTCATCATGTTGACCAGGATGGTCTCAATCTCTTGACCTCGTGATCCACCCGCCTCGGCCTCCCAAAGTGCTGGGATTACAGGCTTGAGCCACCGCGCCCGGCTATTTGTCCATTTTCTGATTGGACTGCTGGTCTTTCCATTACCAATTTCTATGCACATATTATGTATTAGGGATAGTACCCTTTTCTTGTAATCTGAGCTATAAATATGGGGTTTTTTGTTTTGTTTTGTTTTGTTTTTGCCACTCCTAATGTTCATGTTATAAAGTCAATGGGTCGATCTTTTCCTTTATGGCTTCTAGATTTTGGATTTTGACTCACAGGTAGAAAGGCCTTGTACACTACAAGGTTATAAGGAATTCAATTCTCCCTTGTTTTCTCCCAGTTCCTTTATGGTTTCTTTATTTTTTTTATTTTTTTGAGATGGAGTCTAGCTCTGTTGCCCAGGCTGAAGTGCAGTGGCGTGATCTTGGCTGACTACAACCTCCACCTTCCAGGTTTAAGCGATTCTCCTGCCTCAGCCTCCCAAGCAGCTGGGATTACAGGCATGCACCACCACACCCAGCTAATTTTTGTATTTTTAGTAGAGACGGGGTTTCACCATTTTGGCCAGGCTGGTCTTGAACTCCGGACCTTGTGATCCACCCACTTCAGCCTTCCAAAATGCTGGAATTACAGGTGTGAGCCGCCCATGCCCAGCCCTATGGTTACTTTTCTTGAAATGTTGACTGGTTGCCAGGCGCGGTGGCTCACGCCTATAATCCCAGCACTTTGGGAGGCCGAGGCGGGTGGATCACGAGGTCAAGAGATCGAGACCATCCTGGTCAACAAGGTGAAACCTCGTCTCTACTAAAAATACAAAAATTAGCTGGGCATGATGGTGCTTGCCTGTAGTCCCAGCTACTCGGGAGGCTGAGGCAGGAGAATTGCTTGAACCCAGCAGGTGGAGGTTGCGGTGAGCCGAGATCGTGCCATTGCACTCCAGTCTGGGCAACAACAGCGAAAACCCCCCTCAAAAAAAAAAAAAAAAAAAGAAATGTTGACTGGTTATAGCGGCATTCCCTGAACCCCAGACCAAGTTAGTGCTCTCTAGTCCTTCGAGGCATTCTCCCCAATTGCAATTACTTATGATTAAATTAAATATAGATGAGTGTATCCCCACAAGGCTGTCAGCTTCATCCACGAAGCCAGGACTCAGGCTAATTTGGTCACTAAGTCTCATAGATGGCAAAGAGTAAGCACTGTGGACTGAATAATCTGTATCCCGGTCCACCATAGCCTCCTTACCAACCTTCCTCACTGCCCTCCACAATACCCCCAATGAACTGGTACCTGCAGTAAAGTAGGGAGGCAAACTACTTCCTACTAGAAAGGAAAGGAGGGCTTCAAGTGGTGGGAGGCCACCTGAGTCTCAGGGAAAAAGTGGAATCTGAATTAAGATCAAAGCACCCAAGTTCTCCATCTTTCTAGGCCATGTGTGTTTCCTTTCACCAAAGGTCTCATCATTCCACTACTTACTACTCATGGGGGAGTCTTTTCTGCAATCCTTGCTTGGAAGCTACTGCCCAGCTCTCCATTATGAATTTGAATCCTTTCCACCTCTGGATTCACCTGCTCTTGGTGCAGCCTCTGAACCTCTTCCAGCTCCCGCTGACTCCCCTCTTCCAAGTTCTTCCGGACGACCTCAGCCCCAGCCAAAGCAGCACGTAGGCCCTCGGCCTCGGCTCGGCCAGCCTTCTCCGCCCGTGCCAGAGCCTCCAGCTCCATGGCCTGGGCCTCTAGCCTCATCTTCTGCTGCAGCGAGGTCTCTCGCAGGAGCCGGACCTCCTCCTCTAGCCGCCGTAGCTCTTGCAGCTGCCGAGAGATCAGCTCAGCCTGCTGGCTCAGGGCCTGTGACCCCTCCAACTCCCGGCACCTTCAAAGACAAGTTAGTGCAGATGAAACTTGTCTCCAGAGATGGAAGGATAGGTGAGAGCATAAACATAGCCAGGAGAAGCAAAAGAGGACCCCTCTGCACTCGTGTTGGGAGGTGAAGGGGGTGCTGAAGCTGGGGCATGGGGATGTCTGCACCTATATCATCATCATTCATCAAAGCCCTATTGAGCATGTTAAGTCCAGTGCCTGGACTCACAGGACCTAAAGTCTGGCTGAGATCCTGAAACATGATCTCTCTAGAGAGCGCTACATACAGGCAGATTCAACATCAAACGTGTGTACCATTAGGCCACCACATTCTTTTTGTTTTTTGGTGTTTGTCTTATTTATTTTTTCATTTTTAGGCCACACATTTTAAGTGGAAAAGTTGGACGAACACACAGAGACTTCTGAATTCTGATTTAAGGGCAAGAAGTTTGAGGAAGGAATGGGCATAAAAAGGTCATGAGCTACCAGTATCAATATGGTGAGGCCAGGTGCTAGTTAAAGGCATTTATCGAGTGTTAGGTATACTTTATGAGGCGTCGGAGAGAACAGGACATAAATAACATAGTGCCAACCTTTGGAGAATATCATCTACCAATGTCACGTAAAGTTTAATCCAGTTTGGAACATGGCTCCTGAGGCAGCTCTCTCTCTGAGACCCTGGACCACAGGAGATTGTTGTTGTTTTTAGAGACAGGGCATCACTCTGTCACCCAGGCTTCAGTGCAGCACGATCCAGTGGCTGGATCGTAAGTCACTGCCTCTTTGAACTCCTGAGCTCAAGCAGTCCTACCACCTTAGCCTCCCGAGTAGCTGGGACTACAGATGCATGCAACCACAGCCAGCTAATTATTTTCTGTGGAGACAGAGTCTCACTTTGTTGCCCAGCCTGGTCTTGAACTCCTGGGCTCAAGGGATCCTCCTGCCTCAGCTCCCAAAGTGCTAGGATTATAGGTGTGAGCTGCCATACCTGGCTTTTTCTTTCTTTCTTTTTTTTTTTTTTTTTTAAAAAGTAGCAGGGATCTGTAGTCTAGGGAAATTAAGTGACTTGCCAGATGTCCTCTAGCTGGTAGCCAAACTAGAAGCAGAGTCTCTGTCTCCCGACACCCAGTCTAGTATTCCTCCTTCTTTATCATGCTGCTGCTTCTAATGTAATCCTACTCTGGAGCAAAATGGCAGAATGATATCCTAGTACATCTGGGAAAAGGCACATGAAGCAAGAATGAGAATGTTTACAGACAATACGACAGACAGCATGGCCAGCTCCCATAGCATGTCCTCTGTAAAGGCTTTCTTCCATCAGAGTCAACCCACACCGCCACAGTGCTGGGTCTCTACTTCCAGTTTGCACTTCTTCGTCTTGCCTCATGCTACGCTTTATAATCAGCTGGTGGTCAATCTATCTCCCCTCTTAGGGTTTTAGGTTCCTTATTAATGACAAATTCAAGTCACGTTTGTCATATTCACTATTGTTATCCCCATCCCTAGCACCTAGCACGTTGCTTTATTATTTATGCACTGTAGGCACTAGTAATTGCTTACATAAAAATGAGTAAGTTATGGAAACACTGGCCAAAACAGGGTAAGATATTCCAGTGAGGAAGGCTCATTAGCAAGCAAGCCAGAGAAAATGGCAAGGATGGATCCCTACCTGCCTCTCTGCCCTGGTTCCTGTCTGTTACTGGCAACATCCCGTTCCCACATCGTCACTTGAGGTCTTTGGGTGTCTGTCCGCCTCTCTGAGACATCTTGATAGCCTGGGGGTTGGACCAGGGGAATGTCTGCGAGCCAGGTGGGAGCCATTTTTGGTAGAGTTGAAAGGGGCCGAGTTTGAAAGTGGGAGGGGGGAATCAGCCCAGTGGAACCTGAGAATTACAAAAGCAAAGATGGTCAGTTTCCCAGGCAGAGGCAACCACCACTCCCCTTGCCTGGTCCCACTGACCTGAAGGTGGAAACATCTTCACATTATTTGAAGGCTCTAGATTCTGTCTCCAGCCATATATATTCCCCTGGACAATAGGAGAAACAAGGACACTCCAATTCAATTTTCAGGCCACCTTCCAAAGAGAAATCCCCTACAATAACAAAGTCATAATCCTTCAATTACAGCCAGGTCCACCCGATGCTCCGCTCTTTTCCTACTTCCCCAAAGAAGTAGGAGATACCCCAAACTCACTTGCTTGTCTCAACCTGGTTCCTGGTAGAACCCAGGCAACTAACTACAAAGTGGAGAGAATTTACTGAGAGACCGAGAGGGGGCTCTGAGGCTTTACTCATACTTTCAGGATTCTGGGCAATGCCTTTACCCTCCTCCTTAAGTTTCTATGGTCCCTGCTGCTCCTGGCCAAAGGTGAGAAAGGAGGTACACAGTGCAGGGGTCTTGAGCGCCATCTCCAGAATTCTCTCCATGGCTCAGAAAGGCCTGGGGGAAGCCCATCCAGACACCACCAGGCCATGACTCTTGGGTCCTTCCCTATTAAAGAGCTGGCCCAAGGCCTGGCCCCAGGTGAATGTGGCCACATGCAGGGTTAGACCCCTCCCCAGGACCTTGGGAATCCAGGCAGCCTAGATCCCCAGGCAGAAAAGCCAGCTTCCTGACATCTCATCCAAATCTTGCCTGGAGCTGTCCTCTCAGCTTCTCTCTACTATCCCCTCAGCTTCCATGCCTGCTGGAAGATTTTTCTAGATTCCTAACACACAGCGGGCACTTTAAGATCTTCCTCCCACCCTCCCACCCTCATTCATCTATTTGTTATCCAAATCTGGGCTTCCTACTCCCGTCCCTTTTTATATCCTAATCTACTTTTTTCTGAAGGTATTATTCTGGTCCTCACCCTCACCCCCATCTCTCAATAGCCCGCTCTCGTCCCCTGCTAGCCGGCTCTGCTCTCCCCCCAACGCTCCCTCAGATAACCGAGGCTTCACCCTGTTGGCCCCTGAGCTCTAAGGCTGTTCTGATCTCCTCATCTGTCCCTTCACCGGGCCCCTGTGCCTCCTTCCCCTTTGGACCCCTTACACCCTCCCAGCACCCTCTCTCAGCCCCTTCCCGCCCCCAACCGACTCTTCCCGAACGTCCCTTACCCACCGCGAGAGCACCCTATTGCGCTTTGGCCACACCTCCTCCGCCTGGCTCCTGGCCCCGCCTCTGCATGGACTGCGCCTGCGCAAGTCAGGCGCTCTGACGCCTCCATTTCATTCAGGGGACAGGAAAGGTGCACGCAGGCGCAATGCCGCCTAAAGCTGGGCTCAATGCGTCAGAGAATCTCCGCGCCCAGGCGGCTCCTCCCCACTGCGGGAACCCGGGAAAACCTGTGAGCTAATCAGAAAAAGCAGAAGGCGGGAGGGCTTGGGGCACCGTCCAATGGCGCGAAAGAGAACAAATGATCTGGCCAATCAGGAACGGCACGGGGGCGGGCTCGCTCGGCGCGAAGTTCGGGCCCGGGAATTCCGAAGGAGGGGTAGGCTGCCTGCGCCCCGAGGCCGCGCCCCTTCAGGCTCCGGCTTGTTGGCTGTCAAACAGCTGCGGAAGTGTTGGCTCCCGCGGAGGAGCCCAGGGGGTCCCGGGACCCCCGCACAGGTTGGCATTGCTTGAAGAGGAGGCCACTCGGAGACTGCACCGCACGGGTAGATCCGAAACGCGGCTGAGGCCGAGGGAAAAGGCTGGGTATGCCTTGCATGATCTCGGGAGCGCCTTCCGTTTTTAATCCCACCTAGAGAAGCCGGGAAGCAGAGGTTTAGGTCCAATTTGTTGGAGAACTTAAGGATTTGTTTGCAGTTCCTTTTGGGGGATGACAGTGGATTCATTGCCCTCGGGGGTTCAAACTAGTTATGAGTGAGGGATTGGCCAGCGATCGGGGCGCAGGCCAGCAGGAGTGCTCTGTTAGGATAAGCAAGCTTGATAGGAAGAAGCTGCTCTTCTCTAAATTACACAGAGGTGATGTGTTCGTATTGCACGTAGACAGTTTGTATAACAGGACCTCCCCGCCCCGCCACCCTGACACACAAAAGAGCTGCCTAAAATATCCTTGCCTTGCAGATTGGAGGTTCTCCAAATATTTTGCGACCTGAGGATCCAGCTCAAGTGAGGTGCCGTAGGACGTGTTCCTGAGTTTGCATTGTATGGAGACTTTCCTGGAATCTTTCAGTTGCAAGTCAGCTTCACAACAAATTTTGCAGTCCTAGGCTGCTTCCAGTCTGAATTTAGACTAACTTAGGTAGTGTGCTTAAAGTTGAAACTGCACACAGCACAACTCAAGTTTGCATCAGACTGGGAAGCGAACTTGAGCCAGTGGTGCGTGGCCCAGGAGTGGGAAAGGAAATGGATGCCTGAAGTGGAAGGTGGTGCAGAGGGGGCACCGCCCATGCTGCCCTGCTTCCAACTGCTGCGCATAGGGGGCGGCAGAGGCGGAGATCTCTACACCTTTCACCCCCCGGCCGGGGCTGGCTGCACCTACCGCTTGGGCCACAGGGCCGACCTGTGTGATGTGGCTCTGCGGCCCCAGCAGGAGCCTGGCCTCATCTCTGGGATCCATGCCGAACTGCATGCCGAGCCCCGGGGTGATGACTGGAGGGTCAGCCTGGAAGACCACAGCAGCCAAGGTGAGCAGTAAGCAGGGCAGCTTTGCCCCTGGGTTGTTGAAGTTCCAGGCTGGAATGAGGAAGGGTCTCCACAAGACCCTGCTGCCTGCCTCCTATACTCCATCACATTGGATTGATGGTCATGGTCCAGACCTTCATCTTCCCACCAGAAGTGTGCAGTCTGCTGTTAAAAGAAAGTCATGGGCCGGGCGCAGTGGCTCAAGCCTGTAATCCCAGCACTTTGGGAGGCTGAGGCGGGTGGATCACGAGGTCAAGAGATCGAGACCATCCTGGTCAACACGGTGAAACCCCGTCTCTACTAAAAATACAAAAAATTAGCTGGGCATGGTGGCGCGTGCCTGTAATCCCAGCTACCCAGGAGGCTGAGGCAGGAGAATTGCCTGAACCCGGGAGGCGGAGGTTGCGGTGAGCCGAGATCGCGCCATTGCACTCCAGCCTGGGTAACAAGAGCGAAACTCCGGCTCAAAAAAAAAAAAAAAAAAAAGAAAGAAAGTCATGGGGGGCGGGAATGGGGGAAGAAGTGTGCACAGTCAGAAGCTCTCTGAAAGACTGACCCTTGTTGGTCCCGTTTAGCTCATACAAGACCTGGGGTATCATCAGAAAGGTGTCACAGCGGGGATGTTCTGGGGCCACTAGAGGCCAAGTTTAGACTTGATTCAGTTTCCAGCTTTGCTGAGGCACTCTGTTCCTGGATTACGGCAGTTCTATGTTGAATAATGTTTTTAATAATCTGGGCTCGTGTCTTTCTCCCTGACTTGAGGCAGTTAACCTCAGAAAGCCTAGATTCACATTTGAGTTTTGCCACTGGCCCCTGGCAAAACCTCCTCCTCTTGGAGGTCTGCTTTAGGAGTGTTGTGGGTATTAGTAGCCAACATTCATCTAGTGCATACTGTTATGAGCCAGGCACTATTTTAAGTGTTTTGAATGTAAGGGGCACTAATATCCTCATTTACAGTAAAGGAAAATAAGGCACAAAGAGATTAAGAAACTTGTCCAGGGCTGGGCATGGTGGCTCATACCTGTAATCCAGCACTTTGAGAGGCCAAGGTGGGTGGATCACTTGAGCTCAGGAGTTCAATACCATCCTGGGAAACATGGTGAAACTCTGCCAAAAAATTAATTAACTAATTAATTTAAAAAACTAAAGGCAAAAAAAAAAAACTAAAGGCTTGCTCAGGGTCACATAGCTTATAAGTGGTAGAGCTAAGATCTGAACAAGTTGGAGCTGGAGGAGAGTCAGCATGGTTGAAAATTGGACCTTAGGGGCCAGGCACAGTGGCTCACACCTGTAATCCCAGCACTTTGGGAGGCCGAGGCAGGCGGATCACCTGAGGTCAGGAGAGTTCGAGACCAACCTGACCAACATGGAGAAACCCCATCTCTATTAAAAATATAAAAGTAGCCTGGCATGGTGGCGCATGCCTGTGATCCTAGCTACTCAGGAGGCTGAGGCTGGAGAATTGCTTGAATTTGGGAGGCAGAGGTTGTGGTGAGCTGAGGTTGCACCACTGCACTTCAGCCTGGGCAACAGAGCAAGACTTCGTCTCAAAAAAAAAGGAAGAAATTGGACCTTAGGAGAGTGAGGACAGGGATCCTTTGTAGGAAAGCACAAGAAATACAGACTTGTGGCCGGGCGCGGTGGCTCACGCCTGTAATCCCAGCACTTTGGGAGGCCGAGGCGGGTGGATCATGAGGTCAAGAGATCAAGACCATCCTGGTCAACATGGTGAAACCCCGTCTCTACTAAAAATATAAAAAATTAGCTGGGCATGGTGGCGCGTGCCTGTAATCCCAGCTACTCAGGAGGCTGAGACAGGAGAATTGCCTGAACCCAGGAGGCGGAGGTTGCGGTGAGCCAAGATCGCGCCATTGCACTCCGGCCTGGGTAACAAGAGCGAAACTCCATCCCAAAAAAAAAAAAAAAAAAAAGAAATACAGATTTGTTCCCAGCTGACAAGAAGCATACTGCCTGGTACCTGCCACCTGCTGAGGGGCTTAGGATGTGAGGGAGAATCTGATGACAGTTTCAGGTTCTTCCCCAGAAATCAGACAAGAGCCAGATTTCTCCATGCCTGACTCTGGTTATTTCTGTTTTTGTCCTCCGTATTTGTCTGGTGCCCTGCCATCAACAGGGACTTTGGTCAATAATGTCCGAATCCCAAGAGGTCACAGGCTGGAATTGAGTGATGGAGACCTCCTGACCTTTGGCCCTGAAGGGCCCCCAGGGACCAGCCCCTCGGAGTTCTACTTCATGTTCCAACAAGTACGAGTCAAACCTCAGGACTTTGCTGCCATTACCATCCCACGGTCTAGGGGAGAAGCCCAGGCTGGGGCTGGGGCTGGCTTCCGTCCTATGCTGCCCTCCCTTGGGGCTCCACAGCGGCCTCTTAGCACCTTCTCCTCTACCCCCAAGGCCACACTAATCCTGAACTCCATTGGCAGCCTCAGCAAGCTCCGGCCCCAGCCCCTCACCTTCTCCCCTAGTGGGGGTAGACCAAAGAGCTTGCCAGTTCCCATCCCACCTGGGGAAGTGGGTATCACCCCTTCTGCTCCACCCCCACGCAATCGGAGGAAATCTGCTCACCAAGTGTTAGCAGAACTGGATGAGAGTGAGCCTCCTGAGAGCCCACCACCAGCTCTTATGGAGCCCAGGAAGAAACTCCGTGTAGACAAAGCCCCTCTGACTCCCAATGGGTAAGTGGAGACCTCACTTGGCCTTCTCAGTGTTTTACTGCCTTTTGATTCCTTGTATCCCTAGGCTGGGAGGTGGAATAGATGCGAGTGGCAAGATCTGGGTTAGCTCTGATAAGAAAAGAAAAATATGTGCAGGAGAAAATGAGAGGTGGGGTGGGGGCAATGTTTATAACAGCTGGAGTGGGCACATCCTACTTTTTATTCATCTAGCTTTAACCCCATTCTCCTAGAGCCTAAGGATGGGGAACTTCCAGGCTCACACTAGAGGTTTTTAGGCCCACCCTATGTGTTTTTAAAGACAGAGTCTGGGCTAACCTTAGTCCTCAGACCACTGTGCCTCTGTGGACTCACCCTATGACCAGCCATAGGGTGGCAAAGTCTAGGTCGTCTCCTACAGTTTTCCAGTGACTCTTGTATTTGTGTTACTTCCTTCAGAAATCGACGTGGCCATCCTCGTCCTCGGAAGTACCCAGGGAGCAATCCCATGGCTCCCCCTGCAGTTGGGGATGGGGAGCCCTGTGCAGCTCCTTGTTGCTGCCTGCCCCAGGAAGAGACAGTGGCCTGGGTTCAGTGTGATGGCTGTGACCTCTGGTTCCATGTGGCCTGTGTTGGCTGCAGCATCCAGGCTGCCAGGGAGGCTGACTTCCGATGCCCAGGGTGCCGTGCTGGCATCCAGACCTAAGGTCAACCATGAAGACACCCTCGGACACAGCTGCCCATCAGTAGACACAGCAGTGAGCAAATGGGTCTGATAAATGCTCCCGTCCCTTTCCAGGAGGGAATGACTGCAGGGAAGGGTGGATTGATGTGGACTCATTCAGGGCCTGGAGCAGAAGAGCCTGGTGGCCAACGTGACAGAAGAAATGGCTTCCTGCCAAAGATATTGCCACCTCCAGGAAATTGCCAGTGAGCTGGAAGTTCCCATTCTTACAAGGCCATGTTGCCACGGACACCAAAATATCTGTAGTCAGAGCACTGATCAGTTGCAAAAGCCATGCCTGCAAATAATGGAAAACTAAGGGAGTTTTTTAAAAAATTTCTCTTTCCTGCCGTAAGAGGAAGTTCTTTTTTTTTTTGAGACGGAGTTTCGCTCTTGTTACCCAGGCTGGAGTGCAATGGCGTGATCTCGGCTCATCGCAACCTCCGCCTCCTGGGTTCAGGCAATTCTCCTGTCTCAGCCTCCTGAGTAGCTGGGATTACAGGCACGTGCCACCATGCTCAGCTAATTTTTTGTAGTTTTAGTAGAGACGGGGTTTCACCATG